CAGGCTGTGAATTCAGGACATAAATAAATGTACAGTGCTACATATCTGATTAACGTTGCCCAAATAATAATAAAGTTATAAATCTGAAATATTTAGTACAGCCTTGTAGAATTACCTTACCTAAACTGGGTGATAGTCCTGCATTAAAGATAATTTTTAATAAAGATACAGCCAGCAGGAATTTGCACGACACACAGCAGTGGTTCATGAATTTGGCCTTAGCTTTTAATAGATAAACAAAAGAAAGATTTAGGAAAGTAGTAGATGGACGTCTAAGGGACTAATAAATTCAAACATGACTACTCTATCTCTCTGGGGTCATTTTCACTACCCTCCATGACAAAGGGGACACTTTCATCGAATATCCTTTTGATGCAGAACCAGTCGTGCGACCAGTGGGTCGCCCTCCTGACCCTGGGTCCATAAACTGTCCGCTACACTGAGATCTTTTGGGAGTGTGGAAATGCTGGATCTGGCCCCTGCACTCAGCCTCCTGCTTTCTGCATGTGCAGAATGTCACAAAAAAGGAATAGAAGAGAAGTGCACTTATAAAAGTCTGTGTGACTTACAGGTGACAGCGATACAAAGCAATGACCACAGGGGGGAGCTATACAGCAGTGCAGTAATACTATTCAATGTCAAAGTGTAGATTCCATGATGGACAGGTGATTTTGGCGACATTAATATCCCTCATCTACAGGGAAATATTAACAGGAGAAGCTCCACCGGCCTACATACAGTAAAAACAAGTTCATATATGTATAGGACAAGTCTCAAACCTCAAGCCATGGGATTCTAATTCAGATCAGCTGAAAGAGAGAGGTCTGCTGAAGGATGTCTCACAGGAGGAGGTCCTCCAGATGCAATGCCGCAGTTTGGAAATCGCAGAGAACCGCACACCACCCCCCACCCCTTACAGTTTTGAGTTCTTTGACTCTGATAAGTATTCAGACTAACCCATCCATCCCTCCCAAGTAAAACAAAAGAAACACATTTTGTCATAGTTCGATCAACAAATAAGAACGCATAATGAAACAGAAATAGACTTTAAAAAAAATCTGGATGGACCGTTGTCCATAATTTTTATACACAACAGACACCGATGAAAAGTAAACGTGCGCCTTTAATATATATATATATATATATATATATATATATATATACATATATATACACACATATATAGTCTGTGAGAGAATAAATAAAAGCCCATTCATCCCTGATGCTGATTACAGCATACAGAGAGCAAGCAGTGGGATGGAATGATCGGTCAGAACCTGCTGAACATTGTGGCTCCTTATGTTGTGTTCCGCCAGTCGCCATAGTAACAAGCAGCGGACACGCCCACGCAGCATGCGGCGTGTGACCAGCCGGCCAGGCGATGAGCGTGCTGTAGCACATCACCGCTAGACGACACTTCTACATGCACCCCCCCTCCCCTCCCAGCCCAGTTTACCGGTTTTGGGAGTGGGTTATAGCGCCCCCTGTAGTGCGGGACAGGTATTCCCTGCTAAAAATAAAACGCATACAGTGTTGCTTTAATTAGAAAGCAAGAAGGCCCTTCAGCAATAGTCGAGTCCGCTTTGGCAGATGTGGGGGTGCGTGGGGCAGGTGGCACCCCTAATCCTGAACCCTAGTGACAGACCCAACAGTGATTGTCCAGGAGGAACCCACTGAGGGAGATGGGTGAGGTGGGCCAGGGCTACAGGCACTCTGAGAACACCTCGTGCCGGTCCGTGATGGTGCTGACGCAGCCCGAGTCCGGGGGGGCATGGCAGCCATTACTCTGGCTCAGTTGCACCTTCAGCTTCTCCAGCTCGTAGTTGTGCAGGTACTCCTGGATGAGGTAGCGCTCCCGCTTGATGCGGGCCTTCACCTCGGACGGCACGTCGGGGATCATCCACGCCACGAAGAACTTCACCACGAACACCACGTGCTGCGGGGAGAGCAGGTCAAAGGTCAGCACTGCAGCGTCCCTCCAGACCGAAACGTCCACCAGACCCAAGGCTGTAAGTTTGGATTCAACACTAGTAGGGAGTAAATCGGCCCCAAACCCCCCCCACCCCACCAAACCCCCCGCCCCACCAAACACACATTACTCTAACAATACTGCTAGGAACACGGGCCGACTGTCCACACCCAAATCTACGGCCATGAGAAGAGCCTTCCCAGTACTAGAAAGAGGAATATTATATTAATCCTGTAGTGATACTGGGTCCACAGACCCGAACCACAGAGCTGGCTATATATTTTTCCGAAAAATCTTGGACTATATGCTGGAGGAAACACATTTGGTTTGGGGGCCCCCTGTTGGCCAGAAACAGTCACTACACTGAGAAAGAGGGTAAAGTGACTTTTTGAGTGGGGTTCCAAAAAAACCGACCATGCCCCATTTGGGCAACTTACCTCCATGATGATGATGAAAGCCAGCTTGGCTGCGAGGATGTGCCAGAACTGCATGGTGTGGGCGTACTCCTTCTCGTGGCCAGGTGGGTAGCGGTAATCACGGTATCTACAGACACACGTGCACACGCACCGTGGTTTATGAGCCCATCTCACTATAAACCTAAACTGAAACACGCGAGGTCGGCCTTCCTCGCCTTCAGGCACACGCACCTGCATGTCAAGATGGTGGACGTGTTGAACCAGGATGGATTCTCATTCATCTCTGGCTGGTTTTGCTCCGGGAACTGCGAGATGTTGTAGATGGCGAGGCTGTCCTTGATGTAGCCCTCCATAGTGGGGCTGTTTCCTGGGTGGTAGGCGTAGTAGTAGACCAGGCGTGGGATCATGTCCGAGGTGAAGGCCACGATGAAGGCCTGGGAGAGCCAATGGGGGCAGGAGAAGCGGGTCACATGGGAGGAGCAGCAGGAAGACGTCCTGTTACAGTCTGTACTGTTCAACTTAAATTAAGCATAATATACACGGGATTTGGGTCGACAGCTGCCTGAACAAATATATGAATTTGGTTTAAAGGTATTGTGGGAAAAACGCACGTTGGTGACCACGGACAGGATGGCCATGGCGTTCAGGATCTCCTCCCAGGCGCCGATGCTGTGTGCCTTGGCGGCCACGGGGCGGCGGAACTGCGTGGTGAACTTCCAGGCGTCCACCCGGATCTCAACGATGTTGTTGAAAAGCGCCAGCAGGGGCGCTAGCGGGAACGACGCCACGAAGAGTGTGATGAAGCCAAACTGGATCACTGCGGGAGGGGGGCAGCGGGCTGGAGGTTAGGTCATCCGCGGAGCGGCTGATCACCCAGGACTGGACCCTGACGTAAAGGTTCCCAGCTCACCCATCTCCAGGTACTCGTAGAAGAGGCCCAGCTGGGTAAAGTTCTGCAGGTCGTGGTCCTGCTCCCAGCGGCTGTAGAGGCTCTCTGGGTGGCTGCGCGCCTTCCTGCTGCCCCACCAGTTCCACAGCCATCTACAAGCATGTGGGGGCACTGTGTAAATTCATCTGATGAGTGGGTGTGGGGTTAGGGACCGTCAGGCTAAATGAGTGGGTGTGGGGTTA